GAGCTACTGTAGCTTTTTTTCTTGTACCACCATTTTTTTTAGAATTGTATATCTACCTGCAAATAATAGATGCGGCTGTTTTTATCACTGTAGAGCCTTATGGTATTCAAATAATTATACGTGTTTGGTACGAACACGAAATATACTTTCGCAAAAGGATACGCATGAAGTCGTTTTGGCACAACCAAGCCTAGGCATGTCGAGCTCATGTAGCAACAAGCTGCCACGGCCTGACTTCAGATACTGACGCGGATTACGTCTTCAAGATGAATGGATGAATAAATGAATAAACATTTGGTGGAACTAAAAACTGCTATCGCTTCACACAAACCATATTGTTTTGAAACGATCGTGGCCTCCCCTTGAGGCCGAGGCCTTGGATTAATATAAAGGATTAACATCAGCCAGTAACTGATAAACTTTGATTCACGGAATTCGTTTTGTGACAACAAACCAGCCTGTAGAGAGTCCGCACCATGTATAATTTGAGCTTCTATAGTTCGCGGTCTTCAGTCTGGAAAGGACGTTCGAAGGGTGGAAAAAACATGCCGGACGACAAATGTTTCGGATCTCGACTTCCAAGCTTGCAGCGATGGAACCACGCTGACTGCAGCACACGCTCCTTGCCTGGCCTGGAGCGCTTTTTCGCGTGGGATGGGAGGTTGGGGACAGCAGGAAGCCATCGCCCGAATCGACTGGTTGACGTCGGGAAAGCGGGTGCCACGCTCAGTGTAATTGAGGGAGTGAAAAGCAACAACTGGGGGTTGTCGATGTTTTTCTTATCATAGTTTTATATAACGGTCTAAAATACTATATTGTTTTTCGTTTTCTCAGTAGCCCTGTGGTGTCACCGTCGCGTATATATATATATATTATTAGAAACACAACAAAACGAAGAAACAACAAAATAAGAGCCGCGGACGCCGGCCCGCTCGACTGATTCACCTCGTAGCGACGAAGCCCCGCGATGAGGGGATGCGAAACCGTGATGGTGAGCGGCTGAGTGTTTCCGATGTGAGTGGCTGACCGTGAGTGGGACGTCCTCATGAGTGAGAGCACCCGTGACGGGGTCACTCTGAGAGGTTGTTTCATTGTATCTTTTTTTTTTTTTTGTATTTTCTTCCTTATCGCCTTCCGCACCAGAACAGGCACGCTTCTCATTGTGTGGCGGTTTTAGACTCTCACGTTTGTACTACCCAAAACAAGTCGTAAGAAGTCCCTTTACGCAGCGCCTCCTGGGGAAAGCAGGAGGCATGCGCAAAAACCAAACGCGCGATGCCCGCCGGAGGAACCACCATGGTTTGACGCCGGACGGTCACCTGTTAATGACGAAACTTGCGTCACTATTTTGCGTCACAGCGCTCCGGAGCTAATTGTAGTCGGTGTACAGTGGCTGGCGAACTAAAGCGATAAGCAAGCTTATCGGCAGTGACAAGTTGCTTTACTTTCCTACGCGGTATCACCGACAATTTTTTAATCATGGGTGCGAGCGAGGTTACAAGAAGCAACCTGAACGTAAAATACTCAACAAAAAGCGCATGTTCTGACGGGACTTGCGGGCAGGAGTAAGCGGTGAGCGCTATGCCGCAGACAAAAAAACAAAAAACGAGTAGTCCAAAGTGAAGACGGGAACGGTCAATTTGGTGCGCTCATTCACCTATTGCTACGGAGTGGACGGTACGCCGCAATCAAGAAGAGGAATCATGACAAGATGCTAATAAAAGTGCCATTCGAAAATAGGAACGTCGTAACAAACTGGCGAGCAAGACTTCCCATAACGCGGCACCCAAACATTCAGAGTCAACAGCTGAAAAAGCATATCTAGCTTCTTGTGTACCACTGCAGGTTGCAAAGAGGTGTTACAGTTGTACCCTTAATAGTTACCTTATTGATCATGTTTCTAATCACATTCTTCTTAGTCGCAGAATGCTGTCCGCGTAAAAATATTTCGTGAGCGCTGTTATGCGCCCAGTGATTTTTTTTTTTAAATATTCAATCGTTGCTGATGATTACGTATACTGCTTGAGACGCTTTAGGCTCTGTCGTCCTATTCGCCTGGTTTATCGGGTACAATCGTGTGAGTCTAGACATTTATGTTTACGATTCACTGCTGACAAAATAGTCAAAATCAAAATTGCTATAGGCAAGACTGGGTTATTTTTATTTTTATTTTCCGTAATAGAAGTATATTTTTTATCAGCAATAAGCAAATCGCTTCTTTCTGAGAGGCAAAAATAAAATGCTCGAGGTGCTGCCTTCAGCTGCAACGCAAACCATTAAACGCTTTTCCATTCAAGCCAAAACTCGATGTATTAGTTCAAGACTGATGCTTGCACAACCATTGATGACCCTTTGCTTCCGGTCCAGAATGTCCTGGCGTTTGGTCACGTGGACTTAAGCTTGTATCTGATCCCATAGAAAAAAAAAGTCAAGTCTTGTGAAATCGGGCCATCTGGGAGGCCAAAGCATTGGTCCCGCTCGTCCCATCCACTGATTGGGAAAGTCGTGGTCAAGCCAAGTTCTAGCGCCAGACAAAGAAAACGGTGGTGCTCCATCGTGATCATATTGCCTCTGTCGCAGATCTTGCAGTGGCTGGTCGCACGCAAAGTCATCGACGAATCCATTAAGTACATCAAGTGCGTACTTTCTGCCGGTGAGATTTCCTTGCAAAAAGTAAGGTCCAATAATCTTATTGCCGAGGATATCACACCAGGCGTTGACAAATCAGTGAACTCGATGGTTTTGTTCTAGGGACAATGACAAGGTATTTATAGTGTCCAGGGTTTTTATTAGTACATGACATATGAGAGCTCAACAACACAGCACGCAATTGTCGGCTCAATATTCGTATTAATTCCACCAGAAAACCACCGATCGAGAACTGGCCGGTTTGAATCGCACCCACCCGCTTCTCCGGGGTCACGTGCCGTTCTCAATGGTTTGCACACAACCACCAAACAGAATCAAAGCCGTGGTCCATCGAAAGCACGCACTCCATACTAAATATACAAAAAAATTATACCCATTTGTTGTGGCTTTTAAAAGACTGCACATATGTCGATTGAAACAAAAAAGTTGCATAGCCACGTGACTTCCGGTAACTTTATCATCTTCTATATTTCTTCTTCCTTCCATGTCCAGTTTCGGTTTCGATTTAAAGTATTTGCTTATTTTTACTTGATTAAAATATACATGACGCTGTAGCGATATACTGATTGGAGAGTTTCGGACATCATAATAAATCGCATGGCAAGAAATAATAAAAAAAAAGTTTGGGGGCTTGGGGTGTCAGTGTCCTTTAACTAATCAGGTTCCGGTGTAACCAGTAATGCGCATTGTGAAGGCTCACAGCCCGATCGCGGCTAAATTTTTGATCATCGTTTCAAATTACTTTGTTGAAGAAGTACTTGTTCTTATTCGCTTTAATTAGAGCCCCGTCGCCGAACTCAAGTCGTTTATCAAAGTCCACTTGAATCAGGTCGTGGTGTGAACACACATGGTACGGATGCCGGTTATGGTTCCCGCAGTACATTCCATATAGAAATGGCGCTGCTGCTGGGCTCACGCATAATCTCTAGGCTGCTGGCGTGTGAGTGGACTTCCATGTAGGCAAGGACGTAAATTTCAAAATTTTCCCTTTCGACAACGGTCTTCTGTGAATCCTGTTATGTACAAAAATGTCTTCCAAAACTTTGTGAAGCCGCTCGTAAACTTTGCATGTCGGAAAATCCTACGATCCGGGAAACGATCAGCGTAGAGCCGTGTAGCTAGTCACGAATAACCGTTTTTTTTTGTTTTTTTTTTTGGCGCATGTTAGGACCATGTCACTTCTTCTGTCACAATACCTAAAGCTCACCGGTGAAGCCGATGCAGAACTTTTCTGTAGTACACAGAAGAGAAGACAGCTGAGACTCCCTTGTCCTGAATGTCACAATTTACGACTCTGCCATTATCATGACAGGTCCGAATCACATCTTCAGTTTTATTTTGCTTTCCGTGCGAATAAACCAGCTACTAACATGGACATTACTGACACGTCTGTAGAGTCATTTCATGGCCAAATAACTGCGTCACTTTAAGATTATTTGCTTGCGTCTCAAATAGATATTGTTCAACGTTTTTTTTTTTTTAATTAGTACGAAATAAGAAAAAAACCTTGTTTACATGATATTTGTGCAGCAAATTAACTTGTCGCGGAGCACCAACTGCAGTGAGCCCCGGCCCGCTGTGATGCAAAATAGTGATGCAAACTTCGTCATTAACACATGAACGTCTGGCCTCCAAGAAGGGTATACCCAACCTGAGAGAATAGCACGTTTTCTTCAGGTATCGACATCGACATGTTTCTAGAATAAAAGCAGAAAATGATTGACTCCAAATGAGTGTTCTATCAGGGATGTCTATACACTGGGCTAGCACTCAACATTGATTACCATGTTTTCTCAGTATAAACGTGTGCCTTAAAACGTCCTATTAAGAAGCAATCAGTGAATTTTCATTAATTCATCATCTTTTAGTTGCACTCTTCCTTTAACATAATGCGCGCCTGGCCGTATAATTCACTTGCACGGACCATATTTGTGTTACTTTTCTTTTTGATATTTTTGTGGCTTTTCTTTTATATCTGTATTTTTAGAGCACACGTTGATATCTGTATATAAACGTGTGCTCTAAAACGTCCTATTAAAAAGCAATTAGTGCATTTTCGTTAATTCATCATCTTTTAGTGGCATATTCTGTCTTGAACATAATGCACGCCTGGCCGTATAACTCACTTGCACAGGACATATTTGTGGGACTTTCACCGCTTTTTAAAAAATCTGTATTCGATAAAAAAAAACAGTAAAAAAACACTCTTTATGATATTAAGTGTATCAAGTACTTTTTTAATACCCTGGTGTGCTACAGTGTCTAATGTTGTTTCCGAATATTTATGCATGTATTTTGATAATGAAATCACACCTTTTAGTTTTGCAAGAATATTATTTTTTCAAGAATTTTCAAGAAGTTTTATTGTTTGCTGCTTTTTCTATCACGCATATTAGATTTTTTTTTATTTATTTCAGCTGCCACTTCAACACCAAGACTTGTGGCTAGAATATGCAGAATAATTTGGTAATATCAATCTCTTAGTCCTTCGTGCTTATTTTGATTTCGTTCCTGCATTTCCCAAGAATGCAGGCCTGTAATGAAGTGAAAATATTGTTTTAGTATAATATATAGCGGGGTTTGACAGACATTAACCCTATTCATTAGTAGCACATATACAAAGACAAAAAGTGGAAAAGTAAATCTGTTCTTCAATTCAAGGTTTAGGAATTAAGCCTTTTTTAAGAGTAGAATATTGTACAGCCAATATTTGTTGATATATAAATTACAATAAAATTGACGCTTGTGTAAGTGTACAAAATTCTGAACAAGTTTGCTTTTCTCGTTAAACGCGGAAATAATAAGTATTCTAGATTCGTTGATCAGTTCTGTACACTCCTGCAAACAGTCATAAATTTGTAATATAAAAAAACATAACATGACGCGTAGAACGCTAAAATGAGTGAGGAATTAAAAGGCACAAAATTGCAGTCCGTGTTGGAAACCTTGAAACAAATATTATTCAACGAGATAAATAGTTCTCTTTGTTATATATATATCCGCAATCTTGTATTTTTTTAGTAAAACGTCTTCCGAATTTGTGTTGTATACTAATGCTAGGATCTTTTTTCAAGAGTTTAAAAACTTTCCTAACTAACAAAAACACATGAATAAGTCCCTTACATAGAGCAATTTTGTACTGTACGCGATTTCATGAGCTCGCAAGACAAATTTTTACGTTTGTTTTAATCTTTTAGCGAAACGTCTTTTCGGCGGCCCATTCGGTCAAAATAAAAGTGCATGCATACCCTTAACTGCTCCTAGGGGAAATAAAAATATTATTTAATTATAAATCTACTTTATAAAAAAATTTTAACTCGTGGACGCCGTGCCAAAGAAAAATATTTCCAAAGTACCTAAAGGTATTTACTTAGAAGGGTTCGTGTATATCAATTAACCAAAATGATGTTTGAATTTCAACCTGTTATTTATGGTGGAACCTGAAAGCACGTCTTAGCAGAGACGGTTACGACGTTATAATCTCTTGCAGGGGTACTCAAACATTTTGACCTTGAGGGACCACTTCTTTCTCAATTATAAACCCAGAAACCCACGTCTCAACTCTGATCACTGAAACAATAAACAAGCAAACGAACCATGTACACATGACAAACCATATTTTAGCGTATTTGGCTCTAGGTTATGCATCAATGGGTGACTCAAATTTGCTAAAAGATGGCTAAGAACGTTGTACTTCAGGGTCTGACGAAGTATTTGAGAGAAAGGGGTACCCATAAGAGTACTTAGGTAGCCACTGCGTTCTTAGGAACTCATTTCAATATTATATTACCTACAATACAATACCCATAATCTAGAAAACCTTCACTCGCCTTTTTATTTCCGCAAGGTGTACCGTCGACTACACCGAGTGTCCAATAGGTTGTTTTTGCGGTGCATCTTACCTTGCAGTCCCTGACGCCGTATGCCTATGTGGAATTAGAGCAGAATATTTGTAATCAGACAATATGCGAAGTATTTTGAAATTAAAAGCGAAAAAAAACTTGACTAAGTAATGCAACTCTCAATGCCATTTTAAGTGCATTTAAAAAAAAACACATTTACTAGAAAGAGGAATTTTCATGTAAAGCGAAACTAAAAGCAAAAAAAAAAAAAAATTAAGGCAAGTAATTGTTTTTTTTTATATATATAGATCATATATTTCGTTAGTGAACAACTAAAACGCTTTTCCACGACCTGAAGCATGTTTGGCGGGAAATCGCGCCGCTCCGAAGGAAGGGAACATTTTAAGCCATCTAATTTGCAAGGCAATACGCCAGTCTCGATTTTAGTTCCAATCTCTCGGACTTTTGATTCTTTGCGTTAATACCTGTTTGGGGGGAAGGGGGGGGGGGGGTTAAAAGTCAAACCGGCTTGGTTACTTTATATACTTATAAACAAAAGCAAGCCTTTATCCTCACGCTGTGGTGCTGCCGCTATGTTCAATATGACGCATGCGCATATACGCTTTATTTATAGCTAATCTCGTTCAATAGGACTGCATAACCATATGTATGTATGTGCATTGTTTTTTTTTAACTTTATTAGATTGTGTATGTATACTTCACTATAAGATGCAGCACACCGTTTTCTCAACTATAGCTTCCTTATGACGTCAAGGTTTTACAAAGAGTGCTGAATGACATGTCCAGCGATATGGTGTTCAAGCCAGTTCACTTACCTTGTCCGCGTGCATGCCTTTCTCGTACATATACACCCACTGGCAATAGTTGCTTAATGATGTCATCACACCAGGTAGCTTAGATGAGCGCTTTATTGTTTTTTTCGCTTTTCGTTCAGTGAGGCATTTGAATTCCGGACGCCTGAAAAAAGAAAAAATAAACAGGATATTTCCGACTTTAATAAAACAAATGCAAAACGTCATACTGATCTAGCTCACAAAAGCACTTAAATATACGTAAATGCACTTGCGTATACAAATCACAAGTTCAACAGTGCAAGAACGAAAACTTCAAATAAAAAGCTTTGAGGTTTAAAGAAAGAATATTCTATCAGTATCACCATTATGGTTTAGTCAACAACGAAGGCTAACCAATAAAGTTTCTTCTTCTCTTATAGAATTGCCCTTGCTGCTACTCGCCTCGGAGAGTGACACAACGCACTGGTTCAACAGCATGTAGACATCTCCACACTGTTATCGACATATGCCGTGATTCACAAGCGCCTCGCGCATACGCTGAATCGTCCTTTATTCAGCGTCGGAGCACCTGTCGTGTGGTTTATAGACCTATATCTAAATTACCCCAGCTTCGAGAAGAATGTAGGAATAGGTGTTCCACGCGCCACACGCGCACGCCTTCCCCGTATAAAGGATTCAAAATAAATAACTAAAATAAAGTGTTGACGAACGTGCGTGCAAGATGCAATCTGTTTTAGGCATTTGCTTTAGAAAAGTTACTACTGGCTGAGGCCAGCACGTGCGGCGCGTAAGACACCAATCCCTGCATTCTCCTTGATGCTTTGGTAATTTATCAATAGGTCTATTGCACTTGGCCACATCCCGGTGTAAAATGGCGAGAGACGATTTAACACGCGGGCAACCTGGTGGAACGCTTCGGATTACCTGGTTGACCCTGACTGTAGTGTTGATTTTGTAGACAGCTTCGAACAAATATTGTATGTGTAACTGTGTTATTTACCGCCGGTAAGTGAAAAAACAACAATATAATAACATGATTTTTTTATTACTGCAACGCGATTTTCGGAATCCTGTTCGACCTCCAAGTTTCGGTCGTTTAGTTTATTTATATTTTACGACTGAAAACACAAGTGTACAAAAAGTTCCTTGACATACACGTTAGCAAAAATATAACCATATTTTAAGGATATTTTGAGGATATTTATAGTTTTAAATTATTAGTTTCTATAAAAGTTTCGTAGATTTCTTACATCATTCACTACACCGCATTTAAAGTAACCTCATGGGGTTCACTGAATCATAACAAGGCCCTGTTTTTTTTGTTTTTTTTTCTGTCATATAAGGTGAGAATATATTCACGAAAATGTTTACACAAAAAGTTCATAAAAGGAACATTTATCGATTACAAGCTACTTTTTTTGTCGACACTGCTTCAAGTATTCATAAAGTTGCCTTGCTGAGAACAAAGCGACCGCATGTTGTGCTATAATGCATTTTGTAAGACGGAAAATGTAGAAGGAAAATATTAGCATTATAATGTAGACAGCAGTGGTTTCTAAATAAGGTTTCGCGGGCACTGTGTGGTCCATGAAGGACTTCCGCGGACCCCAAAGCCCTTGGCCATCGGTCAAGCCAATCCAAAGAACATTTTAAAATTTATGCTGGCTGTTCCACAACGCTAAATAGACCAATTCATGTGCGCCAAGGGAGTAGAATTGATTATACTTTGTTTCAAATTTTAAAAGTTGGTTTGCATGCAATTAATTTTCCACATCTGCCCCTGTAATCGTTTAATACCCCCCTCCCTGGTGGATGGATCCTTTCGTCACGCCTGAGGATTCATATGTGATAATGTGATACAGAAAACATCAGTAGTCAAAAATCACTGATATACAGGATGTTCCACGTAATGCCCAAATCTCTCTAGAGCGACAAACAGAAACAAACGACAGCGACAATCCTCAAACCAGAGTCATTAGCGATTTGACAGGCTTTCTAGAACAAAGGAGGCTATGCTCAAACACGAGCATCATGCACGCGAGGGTATCTTTGGCAGGTTTGCAATCACTCGTGCTTACTTCACGAGCACCGAATGACTAAACGCCTGCAAAAGGTACCATCGCGAGCATGCTCCATCTGTCTGAGGCTTGTCGCTGTCGTTTGTTTTTGTTTTTCGTTTGTCGCTGCAGTGGGAATCGGGCATAAGAGTGTCAATATTGAGAAAAAGGAACTTTAAAGGAAAACACGATTCCTTCGGGATTACCTTGTCCACGGCGGTGGACGTACGGACGCAAATGCGAAGTGTTCATTAGACACTTAAATAACAAAAGGTAATTAATTAACTTTTCAGCCAGCATTCCCCTTTAATTAACATGTTTCATTCAATTAGAGATTGGCAGCCCGTCGTTTACTAAAGCTAAAGCAGTAGAGAAATATACAAATATATATGTATATTCCACCTAGAGTTATTGAATTGCAAAGGTTCGTGGCAATCACGGCAGCAGGATATTGAAACTAATAGTGCGTTTAAACTTGCGTATTCGCGGACGGATCTGTGCCGGCGGCGAGCGTATTTTCAAGACGGGTGGCAAAATTTGCTCGTCGCCGGCGCAAAATCTGAATCAATTTGAGACCCATATCCAGATTGCGAGCCAGCGCCGAGTCCAATTCGCCAACTGCCTTCTATTCCTATCGTCGCCGGCACGGATCAGCTTGCCAATTTTCGGGTGTAAAAGCACCATACCTAGAAAAAAGCGTGACAGAAGCGGAATTAAATTTCGCTGCAAGAGACGCGTTAGAACGCGACGTCTTGAGACGGTGCAAGTTGCTGTGAACACGTGACCAAAAGCATTAGCCCAATCCAAAATCGGCTCGGGGCCTGCTCCAGTGAGCCGATTTGGGATTACACCAAAGTTTTTCGAAAGCCCAGAGATATCTCTCTCGTGTGTATAAAATTTTAAAAGAAAAGAAGCGCCAGTTGCCGTGTATCAGAGCCGCAAGCGATGACTTTCAATGTTTTAATTGGCTCGTGTGAGCAGGCCGTGAGCGGATTTGGGATTGGTCCAAATCACCTGCTCACGTGTTCAGAGTAACTTACGCGATACACTCGGATGTATTTTCGGCACTGAAACCATTTCCGGTTTTAACCCGCTTTTCAAGAGTTATTTTCGGCTTTCGACTGCCGTGATTGGAAAATTCCACCACGGTGTAACTCGAAATAGAATTTGTTTTTTAGATATCTGGACCGCTTTAAAGGTAACTGCAAAGAAAAAAAAAAGTATTTGTTTAAACAGCCTGATTGGGACAAGCATGTCAGAAAACAAATGTTCCGCGAAAAAAAAATATTTTCTTTTTATCAATATTTACGCTACAGGACGTAATTTAGTCGGAGTCAGAACCTCTCCACATTTCAAATTCCCGCTCTCTCGACCCCCGTGGAAGAGGAGTGCGCCCCGCCCCTCACTCTCCTTGCGTTGCGGAGTTGAATGACGCAGCGTCTCGACTTCCGGTAAGATCTGGCAACAACGCACGGCGGCGGTATTGTTTTGGTTTGACGCGGTTTGCGAGTACATGTAGCGAAGAAGTGAACGGGAGAAGTGCCCCTGTGATGTTCCCGGAAGATGAAAAGTATCATTCGTAATCGTCATGCGTGCTTTGAAAGCGAAGGGAGTCACAGAATCCACGAGTGCGCAACCACAAGCCAAGGTTCATGACAGCGCTGCGTCGGTTTCGGTGATCTCGTTCTGTTTGGTGCAACACGGCGATGCTACAAAGAGCTGAAACGTTCGTGGTGTGTGTAATGCGGTGCTAACACGGAGCTCAAATTGGTTGTTGTGGGGTTGACGTTCAATCAGTTCAGTCCCGTCGTCGTCACCTGATCCAGTCAAACTGGTCCGGGAGGACGCAGCGAGCGTTTTTAAAAGTAAATCTGCCTCGTTCTGTTTCAAAATGTGGAAGTTTCCCGACGCATACCGTGAGTAAAAAGCTGCGGGCGTTTTCAACAAAATTACGTCGTTTTAATTGAACATTGGACTCCAAATTGTTGTCCTAAATCTGCCGTTTTTATGCTTCGTGTTGGACTGCGTTTGCACAGCGACGTGTTGCATCGTGCGGTGGGAATAAATTTGGGCACGATTTCGTACCTGCCTACAGATGCATGAACTGAGACCACTTTTTACGTAGTGAACATAGTGCTTTTTTATGTCGTGTCTACTCGCGGACGTTAGGTGCACTCGGGGCGAATCTCGACGGCATCCAGAGCGATATGACAACGTAACTGGGCAGGTTTGTCGCTACGCGAACGCCCGATTGCCTTCAGCCAACAGCATTCCTTTCGGGGCGAAATGGCTGCTAGAAGGCTCGCTGTCTGGATCACTCATCTGACATCTCCGAAAAGTCGGTATTTGCACGCGCAAGCAAACAAACAAACAAAAAAGCACGCTAAGCCAGCAAAGAGGAAAACGAAAGAACCGCGCTATGAAAGTAAAACCCCGCGTCGCTTCCTATCACTAACACCTGCGACAGCTGCTAAACACACACTACTTCACTTCAAGAAGTCTCATTCAAGCACCTGGGTCAGCACGAAACACTGATCATTTTGGCGAAACGATTAGTCGAGGTAGGCGAGACAGGCGGGAGCAGAGACTTCGGCGGCCATGAAAGAATGGCGAAGCTTTTGTTTGTTTTTGTATGAATCCAAACGGAAGTGCCCGTCTTGTAAACATTTTGTAAAGATTAATACTCTCATCGCATGGGTTATTCTTTAAAAGTAAAAATATGCCTTTCAAAAGAAAATTGCAACATATAACAAAGGTTTAACAACCAAGACCTAAGCTGTCAATCAAACTCTTCGCCAATGAGAAGTATAGCAGCCTATTGGTATTCAACGTCACGGAATACCAAATTCGTGGCGCGCGATTTAAAACGGACGAAATAGCCGCAAACTAAAATCGGTCTCACACAATAAATATTGCTGTAAAGTTTTTTTTCTCACGGAAAATTTGTTTTTTGACATGCTTGACCCAAGTAGGCTGCTTAAAAAAAAACTTTTTTTCTGTGCAGTTACCCTTTAAGGGACGGACTACAAAACTCTGTTTGAAATGGGCTACATAAAACAAAAGAATAAAAAGCTAATGCAGGAATTTTTTGTAAAATTAAGTGTGTAATGAACACGGCTACATCTGCGCCTTTACCTCCCCAGCTGTGGACAACGTAATCCGGAAGGAACCGTGTTTTTATCTCAACTTTTATTTTTTTTTAAGGAAATGCATAATGTTACTCTTACATGACGCGTACAAAACAAAACTGGAGAAAAAAAAAATACTTTTTGTTCCATGGGAAATTGGTTAAATGCTTACTTGTACAGGTTCCTGACTTCTCTCTGGCAGCAGGGCGAAAACTTATACTGGCGCTCGTCTTGCATCTTGTAGCTCATAAGGTATCCGTCATTCCATGGGCAGTCCGCAGATCCGATGTGCCCTTTCACCCAGCTGTTGGCACCATCTCCGTCGTGTTGACAACCCAAACTGCAGCAGGTGGGTTTCACAATACAAAACAATAAGTACTGCACGCTGACAGTTTACTGCGGCGGAACAGTGGGGGGCACGGAACAAACAACTGAGTGAAAAAGTTCAAGATTAAAAAGGTGAGTTTACATTTTAATTATCATAATGTTTTTAAACTTTCGGTTTGAAGATCGCAAGTTCAAAGCGTGCGATAGGCACATCAACGAAGTGAGGATGCTGTACGCTTGCGCAGATGTATGCTGTTTTTTTTGTCGGATATGGAATTTTTAATAAATAAATTAATTTCCTTCGTGCCTTACTGTACGGCTACTTAAACAAAAATTTAGTCTCTTCAAGGAGCCATTCAATGAGATTTTCTTTTGTTCATATATAGTATATCAAGCCTGCAGGATGTTTCACGCTTCCTTTTTCTTAGTTTAAATCCCTTGATATAACTTTGGATGTAAGGGTGACAGAAGTTACGATAAAACAGTAAAGTAAAACAAATGGCTACGCAATTGTGTTGCGTACGTGAGACTTTCTAGCATCACAAGCGTTCAGCAATACTCCGAGTTTACAGACGCCAGACGCCTACGTTTACGGTTCTCTTCATCAGATAGGTTAACACGTACAGTTTCCTGTAATATAAAAGACCCACTGGGAGTGCGTGGCCGAGACGACGGCGGGTGGTCGGGTCTGTTTAGCGGAAGAGCGTGCTTCATCGGCGTCAGCCTGAGATAACATCCCAAATGCTTGAAACAAGTTAGTCATCACTATTTATTATCAGTTGTTTCTGCTGTCGAATGTCAGAAAAGGAACTACGAAATAAACAATCATAAATATTACACCTGAGTTTATTTAAAAGGTAAAATTCGTTCAAGAGCGCATTCATTGGTTAGAAGAATGACATGGATGTCGCGCTTTACCAGAGTCAAAATCGACGCCTTGGCTCAGACCGGTCTTTTTCAGGCAGAAATTATAGCGTTAGTAGAAAATAGCCGCGTAATGACGCTGACGAACTGCTCTTCGCAGGTAAACGGAAACTGATAAGCGCGTGTTGCGCTTTAGCTGAGCCTCGAGTGAGTCCTCCCCTTTGGTGTTGAATGGTATCTCCGAGAGTACGCGCCGCGCCTTCGCCGCCACCGTCTTGGGTATGCGGTCCCAGTGGGTCGTTCATATTGCAGGAGACTGTATGTACTATGTGTACACTTGATAAGTGGTCCTAGAATCAAACGTTACTGCCGCTAGTCGGACTGATAATCCTGCCGATCATCCAGAACTTTCAATAGTCTTGAGCTCTTCTCCTTTTGTGTGCATAGATTGTCGAGCCTGTAGGACCTCACCTACCCCTCTGGTCGCATGACCTCCACGTTAACCAATCAACGCCGAGTACCGAAGGTCTCCTCTCCCACCCGTTAACCAATTAGTGTCGAGCCTTGCAGCCACGCTTTTGTCCAGGCTTCCCTTTTGTCAGTGCGTTACGAAAAACCCAGCCAAAATACTTTCAGGACAGAAAATATTATGGCTGGGTCCTTATACTTGGTAACGAACAAGGGCAAAGGAAATGGCCTGTGAATTTCCCGTTCTTCGTGAAATGTTTAAACTACACTTTTAACTTCTGATTGGGCGCTTTAGTGTATTTAATTAGAGCGAAACAAGTATTGTTGTTACCTTTGAGGATAATGCAGGTGATCAAACTGCACCTAATATGTCGTTTTTACTGAGCAGTTTGTTTTTTATCGCAAAAGAACCACAGCAAAAACTTCGGAACATCCAGTTCAAAAGCTAAAAGTGAATTTCCTAAATTATATGTTTTTAGTAACAGGGAGTGGGTCCTGTTTTTTTTTTTTTTTTCAAGCTCTTGTTGCTGCAACCTTATAATTTTTAAGGTGTCTATATTTGTATACTTTTCACATGTGGCGCCACATTGTCACTAACTTTAAGCAACGGGGCATTGACCCCGGTGACTACCAGTAATAAAAGAGTTCATCGAGCCGAATGCGTGCCTACAACGAAGCGCATTCAGATTCTACCGGTCAGCGTAGTAAACGTGAAAAACACTTAGAGCAAAACTTGCTGCATAAAGACGCATTGACTTGTTTCCGTCCCAAGCTTCGTTGTAAAAAAACATTTGGCCATTCGCGCAGTGTAACTAATTTTCCGCTTTAGGATATAATTTCAGGATAGCTCTATATGCATCTGAGATAACGCATATTGTATTTTATCAAAGTGACTGAAACACTGGTTTTCCGAGAAAAGATTTTGTAAGAACTACTTCGTTCAACATATGAACTACGTGTGACACTTGTCTTGTTCTTGTGCTGATAACATGTACCAGGCTCATATACACACACAGCAATCAAAACACTCTACACCAAAATCCGCTAGCAATTATTATGATCATACGAGAACGCTCCATAATTCTCAAACGGATAATAAAATTAGTTCCCGCTGCCGTAATCCAACAACGATGGAAAGCAATCGCGCTGTTACGTCGCGCTCAATGCAGTACGACGCCGGACATTCAGTACATGTTTAGCATGCCTCTTCCGCATGAGGTATAGCATGCAAGTAGAATATGTTGTCATCTTGCCGCAGCTTTTTTTAGCAGAATATTTAGTCCCGCGTCCTACTAATTGATCTTTTCGGTCCTTTTATAATCTTTTCAACTATAGTTAAGTAGATTTTCAACATATATTTTATTATCTTTTAATAACTTGGTACCACTTTTTGGAATATTGGCTTGGTTGTTTCATTACAATTTAAAAATGATCGTTGCATTAATATTTCACCAATGTAAAGATATACACACGAAAATAGATAACTTTAATTTCTGTGTCTGGTTTTCAAATATCACGATTAGCCAGAGAAAACAAAATTATCTGGGCAAGGCTTGAGCCAAGTTGGCTCTAGCTCGCTGCAATCTGGCCCAAGCCTGGGCCGAGAAAGTGTGCGAATTGAGAGGTGCCATAAGAAAAAGTATACAAGCAGAAAAAATAATCCGAGTACAGGCGAGCTGGTGTAAGTTGAACATGATTGCAGCTGAGTTTGAGACGTTGCCTCCTCTTTTACTACCTTCTGTTGTGTTCTCTTCCTGCCCCAGTCTCAGGTTTTCAATATAATGTTTTATATACAAGCAGGTTCGGGCTAATAACATTGGCTTACTTTAAATTTTGAATTATCTGCTTGCTCTTATAAGTTGACTATTTATAGCTTATTTTACTATAGGTAACAATTATAAAGTGATTAAAAATAGTTAGAAAACACATTAAATTGAAAACTGATGCTTACTTATGCGCCAGCTCATGGGCGAAAACGTAAGCTCCGTAGTAGCTTGTCGGCCGGTCTTCACACATTCCTACTTTCCATTGGGAACATGCTGCTCCTACATAAGCGTACCCTAGAAATCAATCAATCACTTAATTAATCAATCAATAAATATAGCTATCTATCTATCTATCTATCTAGCAATTTTTTAGTCAGCTAGACTGCTTACAGGTGTATTTTTGTAATGCATTGAAAGAGCGGCCGGTATTGCTCCATAGAATTAATTTCAGCAGTATACTTTAAGCATTTTCACTTCATTTAATGAACGTTCAGTGCATTGTAGTTATTGACGAAAATTGTAAAAATTTCTCCGTTACAGGTATATTCAAGCGATGATAATATTCTTAAACGTGTAAACAAATGAAACAACGGATTGACAAAATAAGCGATGTTATTCTCATACGTCTTAATATAGTATAATAGAAATACGAAAACGTTATACCATTTATAATCAGTGCACACGCACAGAGTTTTAACTACTTGACTTTTACTTCCTATGAAAAATTTCACACAACTTGAGGTAATTGATGCGATGTTTCTTTAAAATCTGTGAATGAAAAAGTTAAAAGCAGGCATCGGGGCCGCTTTAACTTTCCGTCTATTATTTTGCACTCAATAATAAATAATATTTAAATTATTTTTTAAACCTAACAACTTCCATGTGATATGATAAAACATGGTTTAATATTTTGCTAGGTAACAAATTGAATTCAGCAAACTTGTTCAATCTGGGCGAAAATCCAATGACAATATAACTTGACGTATGTACGAAAGCATTTCTATTAAAAATAATAATAACTGAAGACTGAGTCACTTGTCTAGAAGACGCAGTCTATAAATGTTGTTCCTTATGAAATAAGACCCACCTCCAGTCCATGACTGTAGTGTTCTACCAACCCATTCGGACATATTTTTTCTGAAAATTAAAAATATTTTGTATTTATTTGCGCGCTCATTCGAGTCTGATGTAGCCGGTGCTCTCTTTCGTAATTTTTAGATAAGCTAATACTTTTTGTCATAAAAATTTGCTACTTTCTTTTTACCTCTTATGATGCGTATGTAGTCCTTCACGGGAAGTAACAATTTAGTACTAAGATTGTGGGAGTAGTGGTTCGAATCGAATAGCGCTGCGTCATTCATAGCCTTGACAATGCAGGGGAAGCCAAGATGACCGGTTCTTTCAGCGGTGCAGAAGCTAGGAATGACGCTGCGCTATGCGATTCGAACAACTATTTACACACTCCTACTTCTTACATATATTCAATTTGAGAAAATACACTTCCTGTCCTATCTTTCAACATTTACGTTTTTGTTTTCTTCAGATATTTACTGTTATACTTGTTTCAATACCAAAGAAAAACGGCTTGTTTAAAAAGTTATGCGTAATAGAAAAACTGATAATGTAATAAAATAAAACTTTATGAGATTGGGGAAATATTTTTTTCTCAAACAGGGGAGGAGGCTGTGCTGTAAAGCAACAAGTTAAAAAAAAGAACTATATAAAAACAAATAAGTAGGAGACTCTTGGGCGTAGTTCGAGAAGTTTATCACAGCTGACTTCCCACCACCACGAAGAGCATAACGTGCAAACTACTGCTCCCATTGTAGTTATAGCGTAACGAGGTTTGTAAGAAAAATACTTAAATATTGGTAGTTGAGACTAATCAATTTTCGTATAATATTGTGTTTTAGAGGTGGAAATGTTGCACTTCCCTAAAATGTACATCGACGAAACTGATATGCCTTTTTGGCAGTTATGACATGCACTAAGATGTATAACTATCTTCGTACTCACGCTGTCACGAGAAACACGATATCGGCAGTAGTATAAAAGCTTTTGGACTTCATCTGAGTGTTGAAATCTTCCAGTGTTTCCTTAAACAAAATATTCCGGTACTGCTCATATCCCCGTATATTGTGAATGTATGGCTCGTCTGCTGGCTGTTTCAGAAACAAATATAACCGGAATACCAATTAGTACAATTGTGCTCAAAGAGCCTAAACAATATTAGAATATCCACCTATGCATTATAACGTAAACAGAACTTACACGTTTGTTCATTGTTATGCCAATGATCCTAAGCTGTACCTTTGGAGACTGGAAGCTTGCATACCTAAGATTAGCCTAAAAGAGAGGCAAACGATTAGCCGTGATGTTTATATTGAAAGTTCAATAATACATGAAATGCAGTACTTAAGGAGCAATTGTTCAAACGTATTCAGACGGCACTGAAACAGATGCTTATATAAGTAAAGAACCCATTGAATAAGTTGCCTGTATTGGACGTTCTGTAAAATGTAATGAAGATAAAATACACATTATCAATGTTGGTGGGATTAGGGTGCCTTGATGCACGCTTCGCATAGACTGATGCCAACTGCCTGTTTCCCTTTCCCACCCCTCTTCCACCGCCATTTTGTTCCTCTCATTGTTTCCCCGTGCGCCGGAAAGTGGCCTTTGTGTCCAGCGGTCCTCCCATCCGAGGGGGAAAATGCTAACCCCCCCTCCGTGGGTTCCACAACGCTGCTCGGAACTTGTGAGATAAGGTACTTGTTTCCGGGAGGGTTATAAGCCCCGCGGATTATCGCCGAGAACCAAAATGGCTGCTGGTTTGCCGGCGAGTGGTACTACAAAGGGAGGCATCAGCCTAGGAAAGCGCACATGAAGGCTCCCTAGGTGGGATGTGTCTCACTCGTGTTGGTCGCCCCATAAGAGGGCACAAAAGGGGGGAGGGAGAGGGAGGGCGAAAAAGGGAGAAAAAAGGAGGAAGGTAGAGAGGGAAAAGGGAGAGGGGGGAGAGGGTGAAGAGCTTAAAGTGATCGGGAGAAGAGGGACAGGAGGTAAGATAAATTAGATGGCAAGGGAGGGGGGAAAGAGGCCTAAGGAAAGGAAGGAATAAATGAGGGGGAGGGAAGAGAAAATGCGTAGAAGGGAGCCCCCCTCCCTTCTACGTGACGGTGCGACGTCAAATGAGCTCTCTATGTCACTTGACATCAACTTCTCGGCTGAAGTTAGTGGTGAAACTGAGTTGGTGTAACTGTAAATGTCATGAGACGTTCATTTCACCCCCAAGTTTAGCGGAAAAACTGAATGGACATACAAAATACGTGATGTCAAATTCCCTGCTGAATTTAGCGGAGAAATGCAATGAGAGACGGACGGGGAAAATTCTGGGATTTTGGTGGCGGGGAGTTTCATTAAAAAAACATTGCTTTAAAATTTGGGCGGGATTGGATGCCTTCACGTGCTCCTTGCATAGGGTATTGGCATCTGACCATTTTGTTCTACAGGCTTTTGATACTTAGTTCTGGAGCGCGTGAGTACGCGTCTCCCTGCACGAGCTCGTGGCATTGACAGTGCTACGACGGCATTTCATTAGCGGCTATATTTATTTTACCCGAGAGCTTGTGATGTCGCCATCGTGTACTACAAAAATATGACATCACCCTAAACAGGAAAAAATTGAAGCACTTTAGTGCATTAGACATTGCTCGCTCTGTTGTCTTTGTTTTTTTTTATGAAATGGCCAAGACTGCCCTTTTTTGTTACTCTTCGTTGAAGGTCGTGTTTTTTTTAAATTTCGGTACATTAGAAGCATAACTGTCTGTGCATCACAAGCTCTTAGTTTCGATCTACAGAGCTTCGTACGACGTTTTATTAGTTCAGTCATACTCTGAGAGCGATCGTTTCCTGTAGATATTAAAATTTTATTAACATCGTTGTTTGGTCATAGTTGTGACTTGTTCGCTTTTTGGTGTATGCTAATCAGAACGAATATTAAAAAAGAGATAATACGCTCTTAAAAGGATGCTTGCGTATGTATCTAAGTACCCAAACAAGATAAGAGGACATCAAAAAATAAAGGGGACGTTTATCATCCAAATCTTACAATGCGGGAAATGCAGTATATAAGGTGCGATAAACTTATGTAGAATATAATAAATCATTTTTTCGGGGAGTGAAGACAAACATTTATTATTTATTTCCCTGGTACATAAAGGGGGAAACTCAATTGCTGTATAGGTGATAAGGCGTATTTTTTCCTGCTAACATTTGTGGAGAAATTGTCTTGGATGTAACACGTGTCGTCACATCACATGATGTTCGTTTCACCGTTAAATTTAGCGAGGAAACCTAAGGTGTCTTGGTCAAGTGAAATTTAGCGAAGGAACTGAACTGGTGTAGAGGGCAGGAGACGTCAAGTCACGCTCGTAAATATATAATATTTAGGCTCAATTCGGCGGAAATATAGCATTTATCTATAGGGTACCTGACGCCAGGTCATGTGAGATTGATTTTCCTTTAAATGTAGCGTGCAAAGTGAGTTGGTCTCTAGGACGCGAGACGTCAGGCCACGCAACATTAATTCCTCGCCGACTTTGGCGGAGAAATTTAATTGCCATTATATCTCGAAGGATGCCCACCCCCGAAAGATTGCCCAGTTCTAGACATAGCGGTGTTACGGTCAATGATGGCCTCGGCGTAAATGCGGCTAGTGAGCTATGGCGGGATATAAGCGAACTTCGGTGACTTGGAAGTACAGTCATCTTTGCTTCGTTTCCCCCTCACAAAAAACAAGCTTGGAAAGAAAACATGACCTAAAAATATCTTTTTTTTTTCATCTTTCCTTTATCCTACAACGAAAGTTAGCCGACTCTAAATTTTCTCGCGATTTGTTCTTGTTTTTAGGTGGGCTATCTCTCGGGATATTACGGCCACGTCACATCTATTGACACCATATTAACTAAACAGTAATTTTGTTTCGTTTGCTAGATTTAGCGGGAGATGCGTGAACGGACGGACGGACGGACACAAGTTTGGGAGTTTAAAAGCATTTCATGCTGTAACACTTACCGCATTTGTAAGTACTGCGAAGTAACGTGTAACTTCGTACACATCAAACTTAAATTCTTTGGCAAAGGCACTATCCACCACAAGGTGAACTTCGGGATAGATTTCCGTTGGTATCCTGTACACTGTTTAACAATGCAGGAAACACAAAATGAAAAACACCTCCTTGAAACGTCATCGAGAGTGCAGTATTATGCTATAAAGTAGACTTTGACCGGTCATTAATAACTTCCGCATAGGTATATTGAAAATGACATACAAAATGTAGGTATACATTCATTTACAATGGCCTAAATAAGTTAATGGCAATGTTCAAAGGTCAGTTTTACTTAACTTAAAAATATAATTGCCTCTATAGATATTTATTTATTTATTTATTTTTTCATATTACCCCTAAAGGCCCTCGTGAGAGGGTATTACATAGGGGGGTACATAAATCGTTCCATTAGGAACTAGTACACAGTGAACAACATATGAGAATACTAGAGATATCGTTAATACGATAAATAAAACGATCATGACTTGGGAGTTAAACGTACTCTGGGGTTCTGTGCTTCCAGCTCTTCTTTCGACGGGGGTATTTGTTGTATTCGGTGAACCTGTAAAACAATATTATTTTCTCAAAATAAAAAAAATAAAAAAAAGTATTCTTTTTTTTTTTGTTATATAAATTTTGTTCAAAGGTATATCTTAAGGTTCTGGTATTTATGTTCTCAAGTCCAAACTCCGCCAAAAGTAAATTATACAACCTTTGACATGCATCGAAACGTTGTCACAAAGGGTATTGTCGACATTCCTTGCATTAAAAAAAATAATAAAAACGTTGACAAAAATTCACAAACGACAGCATTCGTTACGTTGTCGCACATGTTTGGTTCTGATCGCTTTTCACTACACCTTTTCACTGCTGTGGTGCACTGTTGAATCAAACGGCGAGCATTGGTAGTTCCGTTCTCCACTCTGCTTCTCTTGCCTTAATAATGCAAATGATCTCATTTGAATGGACCTACCCTTGGGTGCTTACCCACTAGACGCTAATTATTGTGCACCTCAATGCGCTCATGTATAAAAAGAAATTATATGCTCTGGCTTGCTTTTATTTCATCTTTTGTATGAGTCTAGAAGTATTGGCCAAGGAACTTTAGAGCAGGACGATTTTTGAATATGAAGTTTTGTTGTGAGATAATTCACATTTAAACGTTAATAATGATCTTTTCCTAACACAGTATTAGAAACTGTCTGAAAATGAATTAAATATTTGTCGATTTTTATTGTGACAGAAAAGCGCACTAATGTTGTGGTATCAGTATGCCCACCTCCGCCAATTGTCACTGTCAGCAGGCTATCAAAGTGTTCCTTTAAATCCGAGATTAGTCATTGTTCGAAATAAAATCCCCGGCTAGGTGGAGCAAGTCGCTGTCCGGTTAGATGGGTTCAGTCGTATCCCTCCATTCTTCTATTAGCCTTGTTTATAATTAAGCAATGCATCCGCCACTAAACTCACCATAATCATGTTGTCGCTCGTTTTCGTGTGCGTCGACTTCGTACAACATATGCGGTCTGAGGCCATCGCTGGTGCGGGCCATTGCCGGCAAAGGTTTAACACGAAGCCTCTCTCCAAGGATTCCTTCCTGCATGTGATTTTTATTCAAATTTATCGAAATAAATTTCCCGCTAAATTTAGCGGAAAATTTTCCCCCTAGATATAGTGGAAAAAATTCCCCACTAAATTTGGCGCAAAATTTCACTGATAAATTTAGCGTAAAAAGTTCCCCGCTAAATTTAGATGAAAAATTACCCCACCAACCTTATCGGAAGAATTTTCCCGATAAATTTGTTGGAAATAATTTCCCGCTAATGTTAGCTGAACAATTTCGCCGGTAAATTTAACAGGGAATTTTTCCCGCTGAATTTGGCTGGAAATGTAGCGAAAATTTCCCGCTAAATGGGAGGGGAGGCGGAGTTGGAGGAGGGGAGAGGACGGAGGGCGAGGGCAGCATACCCTCTCCTCCGTACCCTCCCCTCCTCGTCCTCAAGAGCTGTGCTTTAATTCGGCATTACAGAGAGTTGTAAACGCCTTTCATTTTTTTTATTGAAACTTTCCGGAAACTACTTATAACTCCTATAACGCCCAGTTCTGAAACTAGGTATTTCATCTGGACCATTAGAGCTACATTCGGATGGAGGCTGAGGGGATTGAACGTTCGCTTATATGTAAGTTGTTTTCGTTGTAGCGGCATAGCCGTGTGAAGTTTAAAGCTTGGCATTTGCGTCTTGTTGAACACCAAAAAACACATCGCCACCGTATGGCACCTTCCAAGCGTCAGAAACACTTTTTTCATTCAGTCTAAAGAACGCAGAGCTCATTAAAAGGTGTGCTGTCATAAAAAGCATCACGAGATAGGACCGCGACCAAGTAGCTATAGCCCCATCTTGCTAGCGGTACCGCTCGGAAAACTACGCCAACGCCACACAGCGGCATTCGCTTCGAAGGCCTCACGTAGAGCGCGCCGCATTTGCCACTACACCCCTTCTAGAACGCTGTACTCCGAGGCTCCGTTGATTGGATCAACGGCGCATCGAGGTGGTATCGGCCACGCCAGTCATACCAGAGGGTAGAATATGTCCTGCAGAGCGCCTATCGGTCTGCGACCTAAAAGTTATCACGTCTCTACTTCGACCGGCAAGTGTGAATCTACAGCATGCAAACTAACGCTTTTAAATTTAAACGGCCCTTAAAAATAGGTTTCTCAGCGTATTGCGCAAAAATTTACTGCAGAGGTGCAAGCAGCTGGGGAAAGTGTACAGTACAAAAAACACGTAAAAAAATTACGTCGTTAAAAATACCTGTTCTGGGCAATCTGCGCCGCCGCTTCGCAGACGATTCGCGAGAACAGAGATGCTTCCGACAGATGGCGTGCACAGCGTCGAGGGAGCACCTGCCAATTCGGGATAGCAGACGATCTCGCAAACAAAAACGAATCGGCCTCGACGCGGCGTACGCCATCCGTCGGCGGCACTTCTCTCTGCGCATGCATCACATGCAAAGTGGAGGCGTGGATTTCACAAAACATGTTTTCCTTTTCTTACGAGGTAAGTTGATTTCTCGATGTTTTCTCTGTAAATTTTCAGCACTTATTTGCACTTTTATACTGTCTCAAACGTGTTTCCGACTTGCGTGGTTAAATGAAAACTCGTTTTTCGATTTAGATCTGATTACGCCATAGAAGTATCATGCTGTTCCCTGCTGTGACTCTGGCGGTGGCGAAGCAAAATATGTGGATGCAGCAGACATCTGTTCTGTTGTATGTCGATCTCCAGCTTCTTGGTCCACAGAAGCTTGAGCAGCCAGGAGTCGGGACGCCGCGACGACACTGACACTCGCGTTTGCCCGTTCTTTCTGATGTAACTTGACCAACCATCAGCCAGATTCTCGTATTCCGGCAGCATGGCATTTCGGCTTCTTACATGCCTTTTGTCTCCGCTTCAGGAATAGTTTTGTTTCATGGGCGGTATAGGAGGCTAAACACGTACACCCATTGGAGGCGCGTTGCAAGCTATGTCCTTACTTATGAATGGCTTTGTTCGACTGTTGACTGCGGCGTTACCTAAATGAGAGGTAAGTGATTTAACACAAATAAAACGTAATTTAAGTAAAAATAAACGAGCCGCGACTACATAAATTTTATCATGTAGTTTCGGCCACCGCAGGTATAGTAGGTTGGTAGGAACATATTTATTTACCGCAGGACAAGTAGAAAGAAGTAGGCGTCCTGTCCGACCATTATAAAAAATTACTGGGCACAAATTGTGACCTATTACGGCAGGGTATGTTTAACATGTGGAATAGAAACTGCGAAACGAAATGGAAAACCGAGCGCGCAGCCTTGCTAGAGTAACTTCATATATGCCCCGCTTCAGTACCATGCAGAGATACTCGGGCGCATACAGCTAGTATAGTAACTATATAGTTTCGCCATTTAGTTGCTTTAGACATTGCAGAGTCACTGTATATGTTAAAGGCCTGCACTCCGTTGGTCGACTTCGTTTTGTTGAACACTGGCAAAATCTATTGAGCTGTGTTAAGTATTTAAATATCATTCAATAGTATAACTTTTATTACTCACCACTTCCACACCATCATCGTCCTTTACTCTTACTGACGCCATGTGAGTTGCGTCGTGATAGATGTCACGTTCAGCATCTTCGGCTTTGATCTAAAAGTGGCGAAATATATACTCTTTACGTAAGTCGAAGGCACATTTTGACTGATATCTAATTCCCAAAAAGATTTCTAAATTAAACGAATAATTTGTTTATGCAGCCACTTATATTTATTTTAGATAATACTGCGTAATTAAAATCATGTTAATTATGAAAGCCCAAAGTCGATATGAGTCTCGCAACATGCCTCTCAAGTACACTGTGTTAATAAGTGTATTCTTTAGAAGGTGGTGGCTTACACATAAAATATTTTTGTTGAATTGTTAAGGGGGATCGGTGACCGAGTGTGCTAGCTCACACCAGCTCAAAGCAGGGGGCCAAAGCTCGCGCTACAGAACCCGTGGACTCTGGGTTCAAACCCCACCCATGCACATTACGATCTGGATGAGCATCGTGTGGCGTGTGGTCCTGTATCACTACTGTCTGGTGTACGTTGAAGAAACCAGGCTAGCGGCTCTATTGCACAGGCAATTGAGGCACACTAATTTTAGGCTTTATAAACATACACACAACACAGTTACAGTTATCAGATTTTTTGTGTTTCACTTTTGTCAGACTCCAATGTCAACATATTTACGGATCAATGCAACGATAGCGTAGATAAAAGAATTTTGATTTGGCCGACAAAAAAAGAGCAAAGTGCGGTACGACCAGCAGAGTTACACAAGTGTAGCCAAGTAATCGAAACTAATGTGCTAAACTATGATAAACACCATCTTATGCTGCGCTCATGGACTTTATGTAAGTACGACTTTTCACATGCAATGCCCCAAAATGTTTTTTTTTTTTTTTTTTTTTTATAAAAGCGAGATTGTGGTTATACAACTATTTTATCAGCAAACATTATGCATCATAGGAATTTCCTTGCACCAAGTTTTTTCAGAGTACTCGGCAAATTTAGCACAGTGTTGTGCAAAAAGGTCTGCCAATGTCAAAGCAAAAAAAAATGCACAAATGAGGTTGCCATCCGACAGAGCGAGCATGACGATCGTGCTTCAATGAACATGCTAGTCACATTGGTGCCTAAATTTTCCAGTAAAAATATTTTTCTGTCTATTTGCCGTGCTCTCGCTCTAAATCTCACTGATTGGTTTTGCGAGCACGCAGCGCGTAATTTCACAATGACGCATAATTTGAAGGGGGGGGGGGGGGGGATGTGCGTCAACGCGTATGCGTGGTTCTAAAGGGTTCACTACTCATTACGCTGAAGTATGTACATTTTGTTTGAATTTGAAGTGAACCGTCTCACTTAGTGGTTAATTTAAACGCGAAATTTACTATTTCCCAATTAGTAGAGTCGAAGATGGTGCACTCTCGGCGTTGCGGATGAGTGTCTTCCGTATATGTTGAGCCTGATTTACACGTGAAGTAATAATTCAGTCTATTAAGTTGGTAAATAAAATTTTCGTTTTATGGATGCGAACAGCTTGAAATCAATGTAAAGATTTAGGTATAGGCCGGAAGCTCTACGCTAAAGAGAACAGATACGTCATTCCAAGAATTCAGATTTAATTTGCGACTTCCATTGATTTGAGGTTGCAACATTACAGGCACCAACAAGCATCTTAATGTTGTGACCAGATTTCCAGCTAAAGAATTATAACATTTATATCAAAAATGAAGTGTCCCTTAGGAGGATTGCGGCATTCAGCAAACACTATTTTTTAGAATATCTGTCTGTCTTTGTAATTTAAAGAAATAAATTCTACATAGAATATTGCAGCTAAAATAATGGTTAAAATATAAGTTCATAAGAATAATGAGACATAGCTTCATTTTCTATCTTCTGGGCACCAGCTGTCATTTTGATTCAGCTTTATTTTCTGCCTTGACACAGTCACATATCACTGTATTGCTTTAGCAATACAGTGATATGTACAACCAACTAGCCCAACTCGCCGTTCTAACAAACGCATACTCACGTAGTAATCAATAGGTTCATTTCCATCGGTCGTACTGAAGAGAAAGTCGTCAGCGAAGACCTTACTCTTCTGCAGCGTCAACGTCAGGTCATCGTTGATTTTGAGCACCCTCTCTCCGGTTGCTGCTCTGCTTTCAAGCATCCTGGGGTACACGATCCCATGCTCTGCAAGGTAAACGTTCAGATTAAGTAAAAAGTAGCATGTATATATATATATATATATGTGTGTTTTATTCTTGAAGTAACTTAAAAGCTGATTATCAAGCACCTTTCTCGGCCAAGCAGAAAGAAAAGAACGCTACGGTCCACAATTTAAGGCTCAGTCCCGACATCTCTAATTTAGAAGATGACCGGTTTCCCAAAGCCTAAGTCTAGCTTCTCCCTGCAACTTAGTGGAAGCTGTACCTTTTATATCCTCTAAACACGCTCATTGTGCGTAACCCATGACGTTACGTCTCGGGCGCGACGTACGCCACTCAAGGTGACAGCTCGACAAAAGACACTTGATGCAAGTTTGCAGTTGCCAGATCTTTCAACTGGATTTTGCAAAAGTGCACGGTCCACGCAACATGACATCAGACACGTTAGTGATGATTTCTAACGAATTCATGACATTCCTGTACTTAAGCATACAAATAAATGTCTGTACATTGTTCTACCAATGTATAACGCGTAATTCAAACCACCAGCTAGGACAGTATAAAGATGGTTAATCTTAAGAGCTGCACTTACAATGTTACGTGTAAGAATTGTTTTGAAACGAACTTGCAGTTAACGATAATTAAGTTACTCCAAAGGTAAAAAAGTACGAAGTTATATGGAGCGTGTGCTCAGAATGACATAGAATGTTCATAATTACAAAAATATAGAACAATCTATAACTTTATGTTTTTGGATAATGAAATTGTACCCTAAACATCAGAGATTGAAGCCAATTGTATTATACCTAAGGAATACTATTTCAGTCATGTAAGAGTGCATTCTTTCTAGATGTACTTTCTTTTTTCTCAGAGCATGAAATCACGAACTATCGTGCATTCTTCAAACCTGAAATCTCATGTTGTCCCTTGTTTTTGGTTCTCCCGCAAAATAAAACCTTAAAATCCTGTTACTTAAAACGCATTCATTTTTTGAGAAACTTTTATTGTGTAATTTTAGAGAGAAACTCTTGTTTCAAAGTACAATATCAACCACATACGTCGGTAGTATAAACACCTTTTAACTTGGCTCATTTCTTCTTAATCGTCACCCTTATTAATTAGAATTTCAAAAAGAAAATTCAGGGTTAACCTAATGAAACTGGTTTTGATGATTATTTCCAATGTCCTATAATTAGCAGAATGCTGTAAAGTTTTGTTTTAGGGAATGAAAAACACATTATTTTATTTTCATCGCCTCCCTCCTATGCCACATCATCATACACTGCAAAAGGAGACGCTGCTTACGCTCCCATTAGCAAATTCGCTTTCTTGGTGTTCAACCAGAAAAAACTATGTGCCATGTGAGAGGTTCCTTCATACAGGGTTCTTGGGCGCATGGAAATCTCGGAGAGCACTGAAAAATGCAGAAACTGATGGTAAAGTTGTGTACGTGTATTTCGTTCAAAAATAGATTGCACTTGTTGGACAGACTGAATGAGTTTACAGCATATTACACTATTAATAATTAAGACAAAATCTTCCAGTGACATTCAGTGTTAACGGATGAATTTTTACCCGTTTTCACCCAAAACCAGCGAAGTTTACCAGTCTTTACTGGAAGTTTCGCCGGCAGCCACTGTTGTTACCTGTCGTACCTGGCTTTGTTGGAAGTTTTAACGGCAGTCACACTCATTTACCGGACTTCACGTGATGTCGACGCGATGGGAATGACTAAAGCCAAGAAAGCCTAGGCGAGCCGGAGACTGGGTGGGTAATGGCGGCCGCCAACGCAGCCGCATTCTCGTGAGTGCTTTAGGTCAGGGCGACGTTGCAATCCTACATAAAATGCGCAAAGGGAACCGCTGTGAAGATCCAGAAAGGTTTGCAGTTAGCGCCGGTAACTAGCTATTTCCAACGGGAAAACTTATCAGGGGCAGTGCAAATACGAGACCGCTCGGGCGGAGCAATCTCGCACCTGAGATTGAGTGTGTAATGGCGGCTGCTAACGCGGGTGCATTCTCTTGAGTGTTTTAGCTTAGGACGACGTTTGTCACAAACTCTAGCCACGACCGACTCTCCCAGGGACGTTTCCTTTGCACCTTTTTTCTGCTCGCCGGTTCTGCTCCACCACTTTTCGTTCTGCGTGGGTCTCCTCTGGGATGCGACAACGCGCGGGAAGACGAATCCCGTTTTTTGTTTCCCCCGATGAAGAGAGTGACCTGGGAACCGGCGAGGCGGGGAAATTGATGAGGGAGAAAAGGACAGTTTTCGGAGGGCTGGCGGAGAGAGTTTTCCGGTCGGAAAGTGAACCTGACGTTCGTGGTTGCGGAGTGATTCGTGGGAAGCGGCGGGCAGGTGACGGAGCATACTTGAGGTTTTTTTATCGTCGTACTCGCAGCCGTTGTCTTCCTGCTGGAATACCACCGCGGAGAGCCCGACGGTGCCCCCTCGACTTCAATTGGAGTGAGGCATGTCATTTGAACTTTTCGGACTTCACGATTTATTCCATTTGTTCTTCCGTCCGTTTTTTTCATTGAATTTAGATGTTTTGTTTAGAATGTTCTGTTGTGATATAAACTTTATTTCACAATGAACAATGTTTTTTTGTGAAGTAAAGACATGGAACTTCCAAGTCTATATGTTGTACTACCGATTTATTGGTTATTGAATCTTCCAGCATCTGGTAAACATACACCATCCACGGTTCACAGGCTCCTTCCTAAATGCCTCCCGGGGACGTCCGAAAAAAAAAAAAAACGGAAACGATTCTGGTGAATCTCAGCAAGCCCGGTGACTACCGGTAATTTTCGGTGAATCGAGGCAAATCCGATTACTACAGGCCAATTCCAGCGGTTTCCGGTGAATTCCGCCTATACTGGAAGTGAAAAGAGTCCCATAATTTAGTAAAATCGATATTTTACTGGAAATGACTTTCAGTTAAAATATCTTTTTTTATAATGTAACGCCTATAAAGAAACTATATATGTCGTTTAATTCGGTCAAAGGCATAAGGCAATTTCAAACAAAAGTCTCTAAAACTACTCAAAAGGGGTTTAAAAAAGACAACAGGTTGATTGGTGTTCCCCGTAGGTTTTAACCCATGCAATAACAAAAGACAGCTCTAGTCGACACAGCGGTAGAGAACCGGTCTGGAAACTGGGAGATGTTGTAAGTTTGAGTCCTGATGGGGACGTGTATACACAAATGTATATTTTCTCCAATTATGAGTATGTGCTAGGGTAAATTGTTTTGCTTATATTACCATGGTAACCAAACGGGCCATGCTAACATGCCCGTTCAGGTTGTGTGCATGGACGGAGTGGCGCTAATATTTAGGGGTGTAAGAAATTCCGTCATAAAACGTTGCGACGTTTAAACATAACCACCTTCCGCGCTTTTCACCCAGAGAAATGATGAAATGTATGTTTTTCATGAAGTGTAGAGATATCAATCGCTGAAGCATGCTCTATTTTTGTTGTCTAATGAATATTGCATGCATAAAGTTCAGATTTGCCCTAGAAGTAACCAGTCGCTGTACTTACATTTTGTGAAGAGTATACTTTATGTTAGTGTAAATCTTAGTCCTTTACATATGTGCACATTAGTTGTTTTTGTGTTTTTGTAACCTCCGTAGCCGTCTGATAACTTCAGAGGTCTTCGGATCCTACCAGGTCAGCACCCATTTGACGTTTCTCTATTGCTCTGACCTATTTATTTGTACTTGAAGAGACGCAGGAAAATATAACGTAGTTTATAAATGTTTTTATTGATTTCATTAGGGTTTTAGTGATTCAACTCTCAAGACTAGAATTACAAATTCGAAAGTTAAAATTGTTTTCTTTAGTTCGAGCTGACGTAGTAAGGTTTTATGTCCGGGTTGCCCACTCAAGATGTCCTCCTCTGACTAAAGCACGCACTAAATTTGACATATTCACAGCCCAGCATCGGGGCTGCCTTCGATATACATACAGCTTTTGATGGTTTTCCTCACAACGTACTCCTGAGCAAAGACACGGGCTCTAGGCATCCAAGGAGGCGGGCACAACTTTCTTGCAGCCTTTCTCGAAGGCAAACACTTCCAAGCGCAAATAGGAGAGGCCCTCAATCAACACCAAGCATCCCAAGAGAGTGAGGGTCCTTCAAGGAACGGTGATATCACCTTCACTCTTCAGTATCGTAATCCATTAAGTAATAAGTACCTCCCAAGTTGGTCAAGATGCCGAATCTCTGCACGCGGTTTATGCCGCCGACGTTACCCTCTGGACACACTCTCGGTCGTCGGCGAGCAAGAGTTGCCCTCCAGACGGCTCTCGACACTACACACGCGTATCACGAAGAGGTGGGGCTCAATGCTGCCCCGGAAAAGACAGAGAACGTCGTTGTACACGGCGGCAGACCCACGAAGCCAAAAAAACGAAGAAAAAGACAGCATTCAAGTCTTCATTCGCCACTGACTTACCGGAAGCCGACAATCCACATCCTAGGCATAAACATTGACGACCACTCTACCGCTAATACCCGGTTTAATCGCACCCTCAGGACAATTAAGAAGACACTCTATGTACTACGATGGGTGTGAAATCTTCCCCGGAGAGTACGAGAGCGCGATAGGCGCCAAGATTTGTATTTCGTCGTCTCCAGAGTGATGTGTGGCCTCCCCCCCATTCAATGAGTCGCACAAAAATGCAAACACTGGAACGACTTAAAGGGGCACTGACAGGATACTTATTCCCGCCAAGGCTTTTATTCGTACATGGCATTTTAGAACGCAACTATCCAGAACCCAATTTTTGGCTCGAAATTCGTGTTGTTACCACCGGAAAACCGCCGATCGAGAACTGGCCGTTTCGAGTTGCGCTCACTCTCTTCTCCATGGTCACGTGCCATTTTCTAGGGTTTTGACACAACCACCAAAAATAATGAAAACCGTGGGTCAGCGATGCACACACTCAATACTAAAAATATACACAATATGATATACATTTGTGTGGCTTCTAAAAGTCTGCAAATTTGTTGGTTGAAAAAAAGAAAGTTGCACAGCCACGTAATTTCCGGTAACTTCCTCCTCCTCTATATTTGTCCTTCCTCCCCAATTCAGTTTCGGGTTCGGTATCGAACAGTTGCGTTTTCTGACATTATAAAAAATATACGTGACGCTGTAGCAACATAGTGATTGAATATTCTTCTAAAAA